TGGAACCTATTCACTCGGGTTTAAGTTCTCGATTTAACACGAGAGTTCGCACTTTTCTGAGTTTACTCCAGGATTTAATGGTACTATGCGGTCACTCGATAGCAAGACGTCGTCTATGGCGATTCCGCCAATCTCAAGAACTATTGGTCTAATCATTTTAGAAGTGCTCATAGGGGTAATTGGGTTCATAGGGATGAGTGTGTGTGCATATATGAGCATCTACTTCTGTACTATGTTTAAAAACATTAAATCTTAGTTTGAAAACTTTTCGTAATAAGGTGTTGAGAGTTGCCAAGATCCCTTAGTGTCCTTGTTAGAGCCCTCTCAAGGGTGAAGAACCCAATTTGGTAACTACTAGGGTCTCCCAACAGATGATGTTGGGTCTCTGAATTCACCTCATGCGCTTGCTCCCCCACTGTCTTCGCGAATGGTAGGACATCGCCGCTCTAGCATGAACTACTTCCCGTGTACAGATCATATGGACCTTAAACTAGGACCACTGAACTTACAAAGCACTCATGGTACGGTGTATCTGGTCTGTCTTACATATCTGGCGAAATCTAAGACCTCGAGATGATAAACTAGCTAAATATACGTTTTGCCGAGTTTAAGCTTAATTAAGAGCCTACAAATGGCAGAGCAATAAGGTATAGTTTCTCTCTGTTCCCCACGTACTGCCGTAGGCAGGTTTAAGTCAGCAAGTGGGAAGCTAGGCTGGCGAGCATCTGATCGACAGGAAGAGATGAACAACAATCTTCCTTTACATCGTAGCAGCAATATAGTAATGCATAGTCGCTGGACGTCACCTGCACAAGCACAACGCATATATTCTTCAGTGCCCATCACGTGAAAGCAAATACCGCGAAGCAACAATCGATCCGATCCATCGATCCGTCCTCGAAATGAATAACAGCTTTTAATTTGCGCTTTGCATGCAATTTCTTCCTGGTTCAGAGGTCGCTAGTCGCTGCTGCTACTAGTGCTAGCTAGCGAGCAGAGAGCAGCTAGCTAGCTAGCTTTCTGCAGAACATTTCGCATCACAAATCATGGGCGATTCATTTCAGATCGCTGATACAGATATCTCAGGAGTAGTCAGGAGGGCCGTCGTTCCGTTCGCCATCGTCAATGCCTGCCGGCCGGCCCGTCGTAGAGCTAGAGTAGTGGCAGCAGTGGAGCTACAGTGCTACCAGTACCGCCGCCCCCACACGATGCAGGCACAGACAAGGGCAGTCATACTTTCTGCCTATCTTTCAGTGCTATTAGACGGTACGGAGCGAGACAGACAAACGGAGAGAGAGAGGAAGGGGAGGTGTGTGTGTGGGTGTGTGTCGTCCGCGGATGAGGGAGAGAGGGTGGGCCAGAAAAGTGAGTGTGAGTGGGGACTGGGGAGCTTGGCAGGGCACTGAAAACCATGCGTCCACATCTGCTTCCTTGCCCAGGCCTAATTTAGATTGCAGTTTTTTCACTCTCTCTCCATCACATTAAATCTTTAGACACATACATGCAGTATTAAATGTAGATAAAAAAATAATTAATTACACAGTTTGGTTGTAAATTACGAGACAAATCTTTTAAGCCTAGTTAGGTCATGATCGGACAATAATTGTTAAATACAAATAAAAATGCTACAGTGTCAAATACTGATTCCTAACCCAATCTAAATAAGACCCCATTTATTATTACATCGTCTGCAGCAACGCTTCATTGTCTCTGGGCAAGGGCAAGGGTCGGGTCGTGTGTGTGCGTGCGTGCTGTTTTGGACTACACGTCCCATTGCTGACCCTGAGCTGCAACAGTGCGCTTCGTGCTCGCAGAGTCGCAGCAGACCTCACCTCATCGGGCTCTCCTTGTGAGCATTTTGCACCTCAGTGCTCGGCAACTTCACTCGCTGCCCCCCCCCCACATTCTTCCGCTTGAGTTGTTTTAATAGCGCTGTTTGTCGCTGTTTTGGTTATCCGCATAGACTTGACTCTGAGCATCATACGATTTTTTAGAGACTCCAACAAGAAGTATGATTTTCTAAATTTTTTAGATCTCTATAAACAACATATTAGCATGATTTATGACTACAAATCTATTTAGTAGAAGAATATGCAACATAAACAACAGAAAATATATGAGCCTAGAGTTATATATGAGTCTACAATTTTACAAAATATATTTACAAATATATAACACTAGACTCATACTTTCTATTATTTATTTCCATATTTTTCTACTAAATAGATGTGGCATCATAAATCATACTAATATTTTGTTTATAGAGATTTAAAAGTTTTAAATAATCATACTTCTTGCTGGGGTCTTTAAAAACTTCATCAAAATTTTGCGAATTTCAGTAATTTGGGATGGCAAAAAAAAATCAATACTGAAATTGAAAACCCTGGAGGTGAGTACATGCAACACAATGCAAAGCACTAAAACATAATTACCAAACGCAACTTATCTCATGTTGACGCTAGTTTGAATTATATTGTATAAGTTCTAATGCAAACAAACAACGGCATAATATACCCGCTGTTTCTCAAGCCTCCTAGGATACACACCAAACTTCATTCCTTCCAAGCATTGTAAACCTCCTTTTACGTTCTCACCTTTCAGTCGATGAACTCATGATCTCTTATTACTATCTAGCTATGTACCCTTTGACACAGTGGCGAACATAGGGTTTGTTTGCTTCATGGCCTCTGGGCAAGCTCTCTACCGGGTATCAATTCTAGCCCCAGATGTCTAGAATCAAACACCTAGGGTGACACCTGTGTGAGGCAAGTTTTCCTGGGAGCAAACCAAACAACCCCATAGCGCTTAGTCATTCGAGCGAGGGCTCGTTTCTTTTCTTCTTTTCCCATTTGTTTTGCTCCCTTTACTTTCTAATAATGGAGTTCCAGTAGTGAGGATTGGAGCTCCCAGCTCCTGGAAAAGTTAAATCTGCCTCTAAGAACATGTGCTCTCATCCCAAACACCGTCTGATTGTGTGTTGGAATGATTGTCCATCATGAGATATGCACTCATCCCCATACATATGCAATGGTGCCAGGACAGGAGCACTCATCCCCATACATATCCAATGGTGCAGACAGAGCATTGCCCTTGGGATAGTTTTCCACACCCTTGGCACCTCCCACTCCTCCAACCATCTACCTAGGCGGTAGCTATACACCCATTCTCTTAGCCCCAATAAATTTTTCCCTTCCTTTAAAAGAATGTCCAAAAACACTTTCCAAAACTGAGAAGTCCTTCTACAAACTAAATGGTACCTTCTCGCAAAAAAAAAGAACTAAAAGCTTATTTGAATGCACTTGTATCTATCTCAATTCATGTGTTGAAATGGATTATGGGTAAAAATTAGTTAATTTTTATCTCAATTCACTTCAGCATTCAAACAAGTGCTAAGTGGATTAAACGTCAGGGAAAAGGTAGGCCATTGTGTTGAGGTCAGCTGACACTTTTTTTTTCAAAATCAGTGAGAAATCACCTTTCCATGCAATAGTCTACAACGGTAAAGAACCGTCCCCAACCCCAAACACACACAAAAATGCAACGGTGAATACCCTGGGCATGGTCCTTAGCTTAACTGTCATGTTCGCTTGGCTGATAAGTTATGGCTGAAAGTACTGTTGATTGATTTGATGTGAGAGAAAAATATTATTAGTTGACTGCAAAAATACGGCTTATAAGCCAAACGAACATAGCCAACATTTAAACTATGCCTTTTCCCCCTTGCCTCTTCATTGCTGCTAGAGTGTAACCAGCAGAAACAAATTGTAAAACCAGTAGTAACACAATGAGCCTGTTCGCTGGTCGGTAAAAACTGTTCTAGCGTAACTGCATCTGTCAATATGTTAGTTAGCTTAGCTGAAACGATTACAAGTGACAAGAGCTGCCATGCCATGCATCCTTTCTCCGTTCCGACAGCAGCCGCCGAAATGCTCCTGAATCCGAATCGATCGAACAAATGTTATTGTAAGAAACTCCAACAGCAAGCAAACAAGCGAAAGATTCCATGCACGTCGTAATTAGATTCACTTGCGCCCCAGCATGACTCCCGGCGTGAGAGTCTAGACTAGCACTGATCCCATCAACACATCTAATCACACCACCAAGCAGCTGCTACCACATCCATCCATCAGTTCATGGCCTAGCTCGTCCATGGCAACTAGGGATGGAAACGGTCGGAAAATCGCCTCAACCGTTTTCTATTTTTATATTTAATACGAAAACAAAAACGAAAGCAAACGGACACAAAAACAAACACAAACTTACGGAATATCGAGAATTTCAAAAACAAACTAATTCGAGCGGAATTATGTCGAATACGATCGGCATATGAAAAATCAATACGAAATATTGACATGTTAGACCAAGTGCATAATAATTAACAAGTGAATAATAATTAAAAAGTCCTACAATATTTTTAAAAAGTATCTCTATTCGACACTATGTAAGGAAGATATGGTTTTTCTAGGCAACCAGCGCCTATACGTAATTTAATATAGTAATGAAACTTTATTTAATTTTTTTGAACATCTTAAGGACTTTAGATGAAAAAACTGAAAACTAGGAAGTTGTAGATCTCGTCGAGAGCTACAATTTTTATATAAAAATTATCTTCATCCAAGATCGTATGAGAAAGATATAATTTTTCTAATGTTGGACATCTAGTGGGCCAAATTTGGATTAAACCGAATTTCGAATTCGGGATATTCCGAATTAAAAGTAGAAAAGGAGAAAACGGCCGAAAAAATGTCTAAACCGTTTTCGTTCTAATTTCGAATTTGGTGTTTTGAATTTTGAACCGAATTCGAATTTATCCAAAAATACGAATTCGATTAGATTAAACATAGAAAACAATGCGGTTCGGTACGTGATATTTCCTTACCATTTTCATCCTAATGGCAGCTAGCTAGCCAGAAAGGAGCGGGCGAGCAGGGGAAGGAGGAGGAGGAAAATTAAGAATGTTGCATGCATGACGTACGTCGTACGAGATGGCCCGCCGGCCGCTAGTTGATGTCCATCATCCTAGCATGGCTCGGCGCGTCGTCGGCGTTGAGCTGCCGGTGGTGGTGGTGGCGGCGGTACGGGTCGTCGTCCACCTCGGCGTCGCCGCCCTCGGTGACGACGGAGGAGACGTAGCTGGCCACCTCGGAGCTCATGGGGCCGCCGGTGCCGGCCGTCGCCCGCGCCCGGAACTTGCAGCGGCAGCTGTAGCAGGTGACCTGCAGCAGCGTGGCGTCCACCTGCCGCACGGCGTGGTCCCGGAGTGCGTGCGCGCGGCCCAGCTCCGCCTGCGCCTGCTGCCGCATGCGGCGGGCGGTCGCCAGCTCCTGCTCGGCCAGCTCCGCCTGCCGCCGCGCCTGCGCCCGGGCATCGTCGGCCGCCGCCTTCTCCGCCATCGCCAGCCGCAGCTGCTCCCGGGCCTCCTCCTTCAGCCTCGCCGCCGCCGCCGCTGCTGCCGGCGCCGACGTCTCGCTGCCGTCGTCGTGGTCGTTGTCGCGCGCGCCGCCGAACCCGATCGACAGCTGGAGCTGCATCGGGTTGGCGCCCAGGCCCAGCTGGGGAACATGTACCGCAGGCGAATGCGGCCACCTGACGGCGGCGGCTGCGGGAGCCGTGCCTCCTCCCCCCTCGTAGTAGCTGCCGCTGCCGCGCGGCGGCATGAGCTGCAGCTCCAGGTTGTGGACGCCACCACCAGCACCAGGGCGCTCGTACTGCGGCGTCGGAGGCGACAGCGCCGCGTCGAACCTGTGGAACGTCGCGGCGGCCGTGGGGCTCGCCATTGCCGGGCCAGCCGGCCAGCAGGCGACCTGCTGGTGCTGGCTCACCCCGAACTCTCCACCGCTTGATGGGCTCGCGCTGGACGCCGTCCGTGACAACGCCGCCGCCGCCGCCGCGGCGGCGGCGGCGGCGGCGTGCAGCTGACGCTGCTGCTGCGACGTGGAGGCAGCTGCTGCCGCCACGCCGAACCCGGCACCGCCGCCGCCGCCGACACCACTAGCCGGGGACGACGACGTCTCGGCCCGCGGCCGGCCGGCGTTGCACGTGTCCTGGTGCTCGATAAAGCTCTCCACCCTGTAAAAACGACGCATCATATGACACCACGTTGCTGCTGCAGTGCTGCTTAGTGCTTACATACAGACAGGACCCCAAAAGCATAAGCAATGGCTGTATTGTATGTGTGTGCGAGGTGGTGAGCGTCCGAGGGTTACGGTGATGCCCTCATCAGCTTCTCAAGAGCCTGTGCAATGTGCATCTGCTGCTGGGGAGTGAAGGGGGGTTCCAACCAAGGCCAAGCAAGGGTTTGATGGGATCCGACTTGCAAGCGCTGGGCGCCAGCCAAGGACAAGGGTGCGTGACCGGCCGAGAGAAGCCAAGGGGGCGATCAGGGGCTGGCTGTGCCCGTGCGAGTGCGATCTCTCTCTGTCAGGCGCGAGCTTTTGGTTCATGGATGGGCAGGCATTCAATGGAGCCCCTGCAAGAGCCAAGCGGGGTAGCTAGCCTAGCCTAGACCCCCCACCATAGCGATGGCCGATGGCAATGGCAGTATGGCACGGCATGGCAGCAGCAGCAATTGCGAAAAGCAACAGGCTTGTACGTGTACGCGACTGCACGTACACTGATACAGGCAGCCAGCGCTGGCACCTGCTGCCCTCGGGAATTGTGCCTGTCCCTTCCCTACCGTAGTCTCTCTCTCCTCCCTCTCCGTTCTCTCTCTCCTCTCCCTCCGTCTTGACGGACGCCAAAAAGGAGAGAGGGTGAGAGACGGAGCAGCTGCAGCAGCAACAGCAAGGAGACGAACGATAAAAGTGCAGTAGATAGATAGATGCCTGGAAAGACAATTTCTCCCAAAAATCATCACGCCTTTCTGGAGCCCGGCCCTCATTCTTCTGCCAAATCTTTGCAAGGGAAAAGAGATATGGGACTAATTGCTGGATTATCTTCTGACGTCGGCTAATTAGTGGTACAGGTAGACTAATAAACAGAATTAATTAAGGGGAGCTAGAGGAGCCTAGAAATAGTAAAATCAGCAGCTAGCTAGCTCGATGACTCGATCACATACCGGGAGAAGACGCGGCCGCAGTCGCAGGTATGGCCGCGGGTGCCGCAGGTCTTGAGGTGGGCCTTGTAGTCGGAGTGCACGGCGTAGGCCTTGGAGCAGCGGGCGCAGGCCCACTGCCGGTGGCCGCTGTGCTTCCGCCGGAAGTGCTTCTTGATGCCGACGAGGTCGCCCAGCGCGTGCGACGGGTCGTGGTGCAGGCAGCTCGGCTCCGGGCACACGAACACGCGCTTCCGCGCCGCCTCCCCGGCCTCCCGCTTCAGCAGCTTCCACGGCACCTTGTGCCGCCGCCGGTGCATCTGCAGGTTCTGGTCGCGCTGGAACCCCTGCCCGCAGATCTCGCACACGTACCGGTCCGACTCCAGCAGCGTCCGCGGCGACAGCGACACCACCTCCGCGTCGGGGTCTGCTCCATGCCCATGTCCATGTCCATCCACGGCGACGTCGCGCGCCCGCGCGCCATTGTGGAGTCACCCAAGATTAGAGTAAATTTTAAAAAAGAAAGCTTCTTTCTTTCTTTCTTTATATATTACGTCGCGCGTAATTGGATGCATGTTCCCTGAGACAGGCGGGCAGGCGCTTACCAGGAGTGCCGGCGGGACGCCGCTTCTTCTTGGCGCCGGCGGCGCTCGTCGTGGCGATCTGCAGAGACCGGAACGGCTCCGGTGGCGCGGCCCCCGCCTCGGGAGGCGGGAAGGCCGTCGTCGGTGCGCAAGAACTCAACATGGTGGGGGTGGCGCCGCCGCGCTACACTGCCGTCACTTGTACCTCTCCTTCTTGCTAGATCAATCTTTGTTGGGTAACAAAATGCCACCCCAAACCAAATCAGTAAACCAAAGAATCGACTCTCTCTGTCCCTCTCCTGCAACCAAATCTCTCCGGCCGTGTTCTTCTTGCTAGCTCACGATGACAATTCAAAAGCCTGGAGCTGGAGGTCCGGCGATGGGAATGGGCCAATGGAATTGTGTGGCATCTCTATATAAGCTTGCGGAGGCCGGAGGGAGGTGGATCACTGATTCACTGGGATCACAGGGAGAGCTCCTCCCGGACCGGACCAGATGAGAGGGAGGACGGAGGAGAGTTGTGAATAAACAAAACAAAAGGGCCGGGGAGAGAGATGTGGGTACAGCGGGGGGGGGGATGGATGGAAAAGTCTCTGGAGGAGCAGTGTTGTTTTTCTGGCTTTGCTGCTACACAGACAACACCGAACGGAGAGAGGGGAGGCAACTTTCTACCAGCTTTAGGTTTCAGCAGCTTTCTTTAGGATTGCATCATGCAGGGAGGGTGTGTGTGTGAGGGGAGCTCCAGGAAGGAGATGAGTTGGTTGGTGTTTTATTGGGTTCCTGGGGTTAAATTTTTCTTTTGGGTCTGGAATGGAAGCCAAAACTACAGCTGGTTGCAAGTTCTGGCCTTCTGGATGTGATTTGCTTGGTTCCAAATAATCTATTTTTCCATCTTTATATAAAAGAAAGGATTTTTGTAGGAGGGAGAGACTGGGTAGATTCTGGCCTTGTTCGGTTGCTGGAAAAACGGCTGATGCTGATGCTGATTTGTTGTGAGAGAAAAACACTGTTATTTCGCTGAAACGGTACGACTGATAAGTTCAAGCGAACAGGGCCTCTATTCAGAACCTGCTGTTGAATGGATGGCTGCACAAAAATAACTGTTCAACAGCCTATAAAAGAACCTAGGCAGGGCTACACATACCAGTAAATTTCAGTTTTTTTTCAAAAAAAAGAGAGAGAGAGAGAGAGAGAGAGAGAGAGAGAGTCATTACTCTACTCTAGAGAAGGAATCGTCTGTTTTATTTGTCATACAATGACAGTGCATAGTGAACACTGAAACTGAATTCGAGCTGACTACTCAAATCAATTAAAAAACATCTGAAATCTGCTAACCATAATGCCAATCGAGCTAGTAATTTTATGCGTAGAGTTTTGTTATGAGCTGATACATACTACTCATTCAATTTCAAAATACATGCTATTTTCGTTTTGCTTTAAGTTAAACTAATCTGACTTTGATAATTTTTACAAAAAAAATACACCAAAATTGATAAAATCATATTAATTTCATTAAAGCGCTGCAAATATATCTTGAAGTGCACTTATTTGGTGTGGTAGATGTTCATGTATGTTTCTATCATGATGAAGAGCTAGATGAGCCAATGAAGGAAGATCTCGTCAAAATTCAAGAAAATTATCTTAGAATAGAACTAAAATGAGCTATATTTTCAAATCAAGGCTATCTATTGATTATTAATTAGTTATGTCATATTGTGACACATACATTGGATTGAAAAATCATGGTTGGTTATTGCACACGCAAATTAACATCCCGAAGCTAATCCAACATGAAGAAAAATCACCTCATGCATGACAAGGAAAAAACACATAACTGTTGACCATGGTCAAAAGAACCAAGCTAATGAAAGACTAGTACCATGCACGCATGCACAAGTTTGACCATAAGTGTGTGCCAGCATATATCAAATAAAACTGTCGAAATTGAACCACACACTTAATTTTGAGCCTTCAATTCATAATAAAGACATTTGTTCCATGCTCCATAACTCCTCAGTACGTGTAGCTAGCTAGCTGTGGTACCATTGACCCTTTCTTCAGCTGCGCGTATGTAGCTAGCTGTGCTCTCCTACATCTACATGCCATTGTCGTCCTCGTCGTCGTCCTCGGCAGCACAGCACTGCTCCCTCAGGTGGGGGTCGCCGTCCCCGCGCGCTGCACTGCACGCCATGCGCATGCCTCGTGCGTAACGCAACCCGGCCGGGTACATACATACACAGCGCGCTGCTGATCTCTGCATATTTTATAGCCATGGCCGTGAACCTAGCTGCAGGCGGACAGCAGAAGCGGCTAGCAGCTGCACAAATAAACAAACACCTGTCCATTCTTGTTCTTGACTGAATAAACTGCTGCTGCCTCGCTCTGATATAGGAGTACTAGTATTTTCTTAGATTTTTTCTGCCTCGCGTGATTGGTCTGGGATCGAATTCCGCCGACCGTATTAAACATATAAGCCGTTGTCATGTTTCCTGAAAGGATTCCAGGGAGACGCCTTGCTTAGTCCAAGGGAATGATTGGTTTGGACGCTTATATGCCGACTAGTTGGAGCTGATTATAAATTAGCGTGTACGTAATGATTGTTTATGTTTGAAGGGGAGCCACCATTAGAATATGGATGGGCTCGCAGTACGTAGTAACGATGATGTAGTAGTACGACGCAATGGCAGGTAAGGAGTGTGCTGGAGTGGTACTTCGCTGCTGGTTTGGCTCCAAATGGAAAGGTTTTATCTGCATGCTCGAGCCCCCCTCTCTCGGCCAAGCGTGTGCGCGTTTTGAAGAATAATCATTGGTTCTTGCTTAATATATATACCAGCTGCATTTTGAATTATGCTAACTTAATTGGTACTTGTGTCCTTCTACCAATTATCATTTGGGTTAATATGATCATGGGTTAGGATTCGGAGCAATATACAAATGAATCTGACGGTGATATTGAGCTTAGATCTTCTATTGAAGAAATATATCACTGCCGGGTTGTGGTTCAACCCGAGAGCGAGATGGGGCTTCACTAGTGGGTCAATAGGGCCCCCAATCACTATCCGAATCCTAGGCTTCCGCCTCTAGCATACCTAGAAGTAATGTGCCAGTAGGGATTGTGTGTTCTACAGTAATGGTCGTGTAATACCACTACCGGAGGCTCGAATTTTCCCGTCAGTGGGAAACAAACAGGGAAATAGCAAATATCGACAGAAAAGTTGGAAAATCAACACCGATAGGAATAAAGCGACAGAAAAATACTATATACCTAGTGTGATGTTACAAAAGTATCATGATTATTTAGTCATGGTTGGCAGGGTTTCAACTAGGCATCTCGTAACTATAACATCACGAGAAGCCAGAGTCGATGGAAAAGAAATTGGCTTCACCAGCTCCCAATTCATTTGGGGCGGAGAGAGTAAAGGGCATTGTATGAACAATGTTGTGAACAATAGAGGTAGAGGAGGAGCAAGCCCTGCTAGTTATAATGTCGTGAACAATAGAGGTGGAGGAGGAGCAACCCCTGCTAAACATATGGTCGTAGCTTGACCTAGGTTGTACCCTCTTGATTAAGACAATATTTCCTTTTTCTGTTTTTCACTGCTTACATTGACCTCCTTTTCAGATGTTTCCACAACATTTAGGAGATATCATATATCTGGGATGGCCCATGCTTCTAAAAGGGCTAGGATCTTACCATGCAAAAGCATTACATGTTCATGTTTAAGACCTACAACTAATAAAAACCATGTATATTACGTATTTTCTTTGTTCATTTTCTAACACAATATGCATATAGACACTTTGTAATCTCTATTCAGTTGTGATAAACTTATCTATTACTAATCTATATGTTTTCCATCTGTATCTAAGGGCTTGTTTGGATATATACTCTCATATTCATCTCAATCCATATGTGTTGAGGTCGATTAGGGTGTAAATTAGTTTAAGTTCCACTCCAATATACTCCAATACATATGGATTGAGATACATACGAATCAGGGTGGGCATAATTAACCGAAACGGAGAAACCGACTGAAAGAACCAGAACCGGAACCGAAAAAATCAGTTCCTTATTTGGTTCCAAATTTTGAGGAACTGAAATAACCGATTTCGGTTCCTACTCTCGGATAACCGAATTGGTCGAAAGAACCGAAATTCATGAATTGTACTTCACTTACTAGTATTTTGTAAGACAATGTTTGATTTTTGTGTGAGGTCTCATACTGAATTGCTAAGTATTTGTGTTACTATATTGCTATTGCTCCCTTATCAATTATTATTATCTAAAATAGAGGTGGTGTTGCCTAAATTTGCTTTAAAACCTTCATATTTTTTTTGTTGTATTAACCTTTGCTGAAAAAATTCGGTTAGTTCGGTTAGACCCAAAATCGAACCGAAATAACCGAGAACCGAAATGCTCGGTTCCTAAATTTTTTAGAACCGATCGGTTCCCATTTTCTAGGAACTGAATTTCATCAATAACCGAGGGAACCGAACACCCACCCTGACATGAGGGTACATCCATGTACTTCAATATGCATTTAGAGGAAAACTTAGCTTCAGTTATAGTGGCTCTTGTTGCATCCCATGTCTTATGGTATCATGAATCTGTATTTTGATTTTTCAAATTTTGATCATATTACTATATATTTTTATCGTCATGGTATTATGTATTTTATTAACACCCATATTATATTTTTATTAAGAATAAGGATATTAGGTTGTAAACTACACTCTTAAGCACTACGATGGCATAAACCGGCCATCATTTATCATAAACCTACACCATGTCTCTCAAGATCAGTGGTGAAGCTTAAAGTGAGATCTAGGATATGTAGTTGTGCTAACATCAAGAGGATATAATATATTGAAGCATTATAATCACTATTACTCCAAACAAGGTCATGGCCACCTTTGGTATGCACTAACCTCCCCCACATTTCAAGATGTCAAATTTTCTTATCAAATATTAATGTTATTGCTTATAAAAAACAGAATGCTTACAATTATACTATCAATAGATGTTTCAAATGTTTCAATTGAAGTGTAAATTTATCTAAAGTAATAATTTAAATAAATTATCTATGTTGTACATTAACATAATTTTAAGTAATTTGTTAATATTATTCTATATGAGTTGTTAAGAGGATATTTTTCATGATC